CATTTCACCGCCCTACCCCCATTCATGGTTGAGGTAACACATTTCATGCCTTACACTTTCCTTAGCAGCTTCATTTCTTCCTAGGTCCCTAGCAACTTTAGAGGTTGAGGAGAGACAGAGGAATCGGGGCCTCCTCCATACAGGTCACAGCCCAGCCCCAGGCCAGGAAATCTTGTATTCCAAGAAACCACCTACTTGGAATCACAGCACATCTGATGAAAGGACCTCCCAAGTTGTTTAGTCCAAGCTCCCATTTTACAATTGGAGAAGTGGCTTGCCCCGAAGCACATGGCGAGAGAGTGACAGCCCCATCCCCACTTGTTCTCCACCCTGTCCCAGAAGCCAAGCAAGCTGAGATCTGTGGACTTGGCTCCTTTGGAGGGGGCCTGCAGAGTTGAGTGTCCTGTCTGTCCATCTCTGGGAGCAGGGTGGCTCGCTCCTCTCCCAGCTGGGATATTCCTTTTGGGGTCTACCAGTCCCCTTCTCCTCAGATGCTCTACTCCCCAACAGGGCCTCCACTCATCTCCTTGCAAACAATCTTTTTTTTTTTTTTTTTAAAAGATGACTGGTAAGGGGATCTCAACCCTTGGCTTGGTGTTGTGACTGGTAAGGGGATCTCAACCCTTGGCTTGGTGTTGTGACTGGTAAGGGGATCTCAACCCTTGGCTTGGTGTTGTGACTGGTAAGGGGATCTCAACCCTTGGCTTGGTGTTGTGACTGGTAAGGGGATCTCAACCCTTGGCTTGGTGTTGTGACTGGTAAGGGGATCTCAACCCTTGGCTTGGTGTTGTCAGCACCACTCTCAGCCAGTGAGCAAACCGGCCATCCCTATATTGGATCCGAACCCGTGGCCTTGGTGTTATCAGCACCACACTCTACCGAGTGAGCCACGGGCCGGCCTGCAAACAATCTTTTGTCCTTGGCTGCCTCACTTCCTGGATTTACACTCCACTCCTGGGCGGCTTCAGTCTGTGACGATCCATCATCCACCCCCTCGCCTTCCTCCCCTGCATCCCACCCCACACAGCAGAAGACCCCTGGCTGGGCTGGGTTACACCTGCCCACATTGAGACCACACCCTCAATCTCTCATCTTTTCTGGGATAACCAAGGGTTACCCCATGAGGACAGACCACAGGGGAACTCTGGCTACCCACCATATTTGCAGGGGAGCTCTGGCTGCCACTGATGGAAGGCTAGGATATGAATATTTGTGGGGAAGCAGAAATGTGTTCTGGGGGCAACAAGTGTGAGCAAGGATCTGCGTCTGGTTGGTGTATGTGTGTTGGATGGGCAGCAAGGGCCCCCTGCCTAGGTGGGCGGGGTGGCAACAGGGATAGACAGACTGTGGAGCCAACATTCTGGTTGATTACAGGGTGTGTCTTTGCAACCCTGTCATTGGGTTGACAGATGAGCTGGGACATTTACAGAATTGGAGAAGCAAGACTGTCCACGGGCACCAAGGATCTGCCACAGTGCATTTTGCAACTTAGGAAGAGTGATTTCAAACATGTAAAAGAATGCTAGTAACATGTACAAAGAATAAAGAATGATATAACTAACATGCATATGCCTTAAAAGCACAACGTCACCAATACCATAGAATCCCTCCCCAATTACATCCCACTCTGGTGAGCTGAACTTTGTTTTCTCACTCCCTCGATTTTCTTTATAGTTTTCTTACATATGAATGCATCCCTAAAATATATAGTCAGTCCTCTGGCCAGCTGTCACCAAAAAAAAAAAAAAAAAAGAAAGAAAGAAAGAGAGAGAACCCAAAATGCAGGATTGAAAAAATACTATATATATTTTCAATGCTGCATGTTGGGTTCTCTCTCTCTCTCTCTCTTTTTTAATGGTGAAAAAAATTGTATATTTGGAATTAACCATCTGGACTTAGTTTAGATGATCCTAATTTTGTTCGCAACATCCAAAGCATCATAATTAGGAGTCAGTCAAACACATACCTTCTTCTCACCATCAGGCCTGATCAGGGTGTGGACCTTGGCCTGATCAGGGTGTGGACCTTGGCCACATCAATGTCAGAGCTTCTTCGCAGCCTGTTTGATCTGGTGCTTATTGGCCTTGACATCCACAATGAACACAAGTGGGTTGTTGTCTTCTATTTTCTTCATGGCAGACTCAGTGCTCAGGGGAACTTGACAATGGCATGGTGGTCAAGCTTGTTTCTCCTGTGGGCGCTCTTCTTTTTTTTTTTTAAAAGATGACCGGTAAGGGGATCTTAACCCTTGGCTTGGTGTTGTCAGCACCACGCTCTCCCAGTGAGCAAACCGGCCATCCCTATATGGGATCCGAACCTGGGGCCTTGGTGTTGTCAGCACCACACTCTCCCGAGTGAGCCACGGGCCGGCCCCTGTGGGCGCTCTTCTGAGGATATTTGTGTTGCCTCTGGAGCCGCAGTGTTTTGGGCTGCCAGAAGGTGGGTGATGTGCAGATCTTTTCTGTGTGGCTTTGGACGCCTTTCAGCACTGCCTTCTTGGCCTTCATAGCCTTGGCTTTGGCTTTGGCAGGGAGGGGAGCTTCCTTCTTCACCTTCAGCGCCATCTTGTAAAGGCAGGTTCTCTTTTAATTGAGGTGATATTCACAGTACATAACCATTATATTATTTAACTATTTTAAAGAGGAAAATTCAGTGACATTTAGTACATCACTTTATCTAGTTCCAAACATCTTTATCACCCAAAAATGAAACCTGATACCCATTAAGCAGTCACTCGCCCTCCCCCCAGCCAATCTGCTTTCCATCTCTAAAGATTTGCCTATTCTGGATATTTCATATGAATGGAATCATATACAAGCAGGGAACTCCATAAGGAGGTGTTTAAAAGACAACATTCTGAGGGTTGCGATCCGTTGCCGGACACGAAAAAAGACAAAAAAAAGGAAATAAAATAAAATAAAATAAAATAAAAGACAACATTCTTAGGGCCGGCCCGTGGCTCACTTAGGAGAGTGTGGTGCTGATAACACCAAGGCCGCGGGTTCGAATCCCTATATAGGGATGGCCGGTTTGCTCACTGGCTGAGCGTGGTGCTGACAACACCAAGTCAAGGGTTAAGATCTCTTACGGGTCATCTTTTTAAAAAACAAAAAACAAACAAAAAATACCATTCTTTACCATTGTGTACTGGCATATTATGATGTTTTCATTAACAGAAGTTTTTCATTTTATTGTGCATACATTTTTCAATCTTTTCCTTTACAATCTGCTTTTATGTCCTAAGAAATCTCTCTTGACATTGAGGTAATCAGATATTCTGTTTCTTCCTAGAAAATATTTAAAGTTTCACTTTTTTTTTTTTTTGAAAGTGAAAACAGGTTTAATGTAATGGATAGGAAGTACAGACTTTACAGAGAAAGTGTGGTCTAGATTCAGAGACTGAGCAGGGTCCACACCAAGTATAATACAAAAGTCAGAAATACACTTTCACAGACAAAGTGCAGGCTGGCTCTAGAGTGAGCACGGCCTGCTAAAGGCAAGTTTGACACAAAAATAAATACTCATCTCAGGCAAAGCGCAGGCTGACTCCAAGAGAGTGAGCAACAGCCCCAGCTTCTACCAAGATTCCACTTTTATAGTTTTGCCATCTAATACATATTCATGCAATCTAATTAATATTCAACTGTGGGGGTGGTTTCCAGTTATGTAACATAGGAGGAGTATGTGCTGTGATAAATAAAACTTGTACATATATAAACACTTCATGCCAAGTAAAAGAATATGTAAAAATAATATATGAACAAGCCACCTGGTTTCTAAAGTTTCACTTTTCATATTTAGGTCTTTAATCCACATGGAATTGATTTTTTTGTAAATGATGTGCCATGGGGGTCCAATTCCATTTCTTTTCCTAATGTTTCACCCTATTTCTTATCATGATTTATCAAGTAATCCATCATACTTCCTCATCCCCCCCCCCCAAAAAAAAATGCGATGCTTGCTCGACATATACCATATTATATGTCTGGGAGGTTTCTGGCCTGTTTCATGCCTCTTCAGTCTGTCTTTAGATTGATATCAGACTGCCTAATTCTCCCATCTTACTCTTCTTCTGGAGCATCTTGGCCATACCACATTAGTTACAGGAGTGGTCACTGTAAAATTCTTTGCATTTTACTGTATATTTGAAATTCTTCATGATAAAATATTGGGGGGAAAAGAGTGCCATCTGGCCTTTGCCCTTTTATCAGGGTACAATCTTTAAAAGGCTGTTTCAGACTGAGCCAGTTCTCAGCAGCACTAACCCTTGGAGAAAAGGACAAGTTTTAGGACGGTGGTGAATTTTCACATTCCAGTAGGCATTAGAGATTATTTGTTGGGGTTGAGGCAGTGCTGGTTTTATATCATAGCCATTTCACAGCTGAGGGAAGTAACCCAGCCTCTCTGCCCTACTGAAGAACTGTGTCCATGTGTCATACATCAAGCTTCGTGCCCCCAGCCCCTCTCCCTGCCTCTCTGGGACCCTTGCCTCAATCTCTCCCGTCTGCCTCCCGCTGTCTGGCCGGGTGGAGAAATGAAGGCCCGAGGAAGAGGGGCGCATGACTTGGCCCTAGCAACACCGTGGGTCCGTCGGACCGCCGCAGAGCAAGAACCATCCCCAGACGTCCCGCGTCCCTGCCCTTCTGTGGCCCTCATCGTGTCTCCCCTTCCCCAGGCTGGCTTTGAGACCACCTATCTCTAACTTCCCGCCTCGGTACCGCGACTTAGGCTCCGCCCCTTTCCAGCTCCTCCGGCCGCCGGCGCCGGGGTTCTTTGTGGCCACCAGGGGGCGC